CGTCCTGGGGACCCCCCCCAGGGCTCGGGGGCGCCCCCAGACCCACCTGTCCCCTCCCCCCAGTTGCCATCTACCTGGGGATCAAGCGGAAGCCCCCCGGCTGCTCCGAGGGGGGGGGGCTGTGATGGGGAGGGGGCTCCAGCCGGGACCCCCCCCAAAACCGGGACCCCCCCCGGAAACGGAGCGGGACCACCCTGGGAACCCCGAAACCGGACCGGGACCCCCGGAACTGGATCGGGACCCCCAAAATCGGATCTGGACCACCCTGGGACCCCCAAAACCGGATCTGGACCCCCGGAACTGGATCGGGACCCCCCAAAATCGGATCAGGACCCCCTAAGAATGAAACTGGGACCACCCTGGGAACCCCAAAACCGGACCGGGACCCCCGGAACTGGATCAGGACCCCCCAAGAATGAAACTGGGACCACCCTGGGAACCCCGAAACCGGACCAGGACCCCCAAAACTGGATCGGGACCCCCAGAACTGGATCGGGACCCCCCAAAATCGGATCGGGACCACCCTGGGACCCCCAAGAATGAAACTGGGACCACCCTGGGAACCCCAAAATTGGATCAGGACCACCCTGGGACCCCTGGAACCACACCAGGACCCCCCAAAATCGGATTGGGACCCCTGGAACCAGACCAGGACCACCCAAGAATGAAACCAGGACCACCCTGGGACCCCCAAAACCGGACCAGGAGCCTCCTGGGACCCCCAAAATTGGATTGAGACCCCTGGAATCGGACCAGGACCACCCCGGGACCCCCAGAACCGGACCGGGACCCCCCAAAATCGGATTGGGATCCCCGGAACTGGATCAGGACCACCCTGGGACCCCCAAAATTGGATCAAGACCCCCCAAGAATGAAACCAGGACCCCCGGAACTGGATCAGGACCACCCTGGAACCCCCAAAACCAGACCAGGACCACCCCGGGATCCCCAAAATTGGATTGGGACCCCCAGAACTGGACCAGAACACCCCGGGACCCCCAACCGGAACTGGACCAGGACCACCCTGGGACCCCCAAAATTGGATCAAGACCCCCCAAGAATGAAACCAGGACCCCCGGAACTGGATCAGGACCACCCTGGAACCCCCAAAACCAGACCAGGACCACCCCGGGATCCCCAAAATTGGATTGGGACCCCCAGAACTGGACCAGAACGCCCCGGGACCCCCAAAATCAGACCGGGACCCCCCTGGGACCCCCCAAGAATGAGATCAGGACCCCCCTGGGGCCCCCCCAGAACCAGTTCAGGACCCCCGGGACGCCCAGGGACCCCCCAAGAATGAGAGTGGGACCCCCAGGACCAGACTGGGACCCCCAGGACCCCTCTGGGACCCCCAAAACGAGACCAGGACCCCCCCCCGCGCCCCCCAAGAATGAGATCGGGACCCCCGGGACCCCCGGGACCCCCTGGGACCCCCAAAACAAGACCGGGACCCCCCCAGGACCTTCTCACCTGTCGCAGCTGCCCCAGGAGCAGGTGTCACACAGGTGTCACACAGATATCACACAGGTGTCACACACGTGTCTCACAGGTGTGTCTCACCTGTCTCACCTGTCTCACCTGTCTCACCTGTCTCACCTGTCTCACCTGTCTCACCTGTCTCACCTGTCGCAGCTGCCCCAGGAGCAGGTGCTGAAGCTCTACCGGACGATGACGCTGCTCAACACCATGGACAGGATCCTGTACGAGTCCCAGCGCCAGGTACGCGCACCTGGCACACCTGGGCACTCACCTGGGGTACACCTGGGCACACCTGGGCACTCCTGGGCACTCACCTGGGCACTCACCTGGGCACACCTGGGGTACTTGGGCACTCACCTGGGCACACCTGGGCACACCTGGGCACTCCTGGGCACTCACCTGGGGTACCTGGGCACTCACCTGGGCTCACCTGGGGTACACCTGGGCACACCTGGGGTACCTGGGGTACACCTGGGGGCACCTGGGCACAGCTGGGCACTCACCTGGGGCTCACTGGGCACTCACCTGGGCACACCTGGGGTACCTGGGCACACACCTGGGCTCACCTGGGGTACACCTGGGCACACCTGGGGTACCTGGGGTACACCTGGGGGCACCTGGGCACAGCTGGGCACTCACCTGGGGCTCACTGGGCACTCACCTGGGCACACCTGGGGTACCTGGGCACACCTGGGGTACCTGGGATACACCTGGGCACACCTGGGCACTCCTGGGGTACCTGGGGGCACCTGGGCACACCTGGTCCCACCTGGGGGCACCTGGGGGAACACCTGGGGTACCTGGGCACTCACCTGGTCTCACCTGTGCCCCCCGGCCGCCCCCAGGGCCGCATCTCGTTCTACATGACCAACTACGGCGAGGAGGGGACGCACGTGGGCAGCGCCGCCGCGCTGGACAGCGCCGACCTCGTCTTCGGGCAGTACCGCGAGGCAGGTGAGCTCACCTGGGCAGGTGAGACACAGGTGGGACAGGTGAGGGGTTCAGGTGAGCTCAGGTGGGCAGCGCCGCCGCGCTGGACAGTGCCGACCTCGTCTTCGGGCAGTACCGCGAGGCAGGTGAGCTC